TCTTTCCTTGGGGTTGTTTCTTGTGAAAAGGTTTTTTCTTTAGAAAATTACTATAAAAGGAAATTTTCTAAAATTTTGTGGACCAGCGGAAAGAGTTTTTTTTTTTTCTAAAGCTTCACTGTTATTTAGTTGATAGAACAATGTTATTATATGACTTTCGAGTTGGATTTTCCCATATACTTTTGAGTCCATAGATTTGTTTGTTATATATATAACTATTTGATATTGTTTTACAATTAGAGCTTTATTTTTGAAAGCTTTTCTATATATGATTGTTAGATTATTGCAAACTTTCTCATTTAAGTGCATGTGTTATATTCTATACTCTATATGAGAAATTAAAACTTTATTAATAATATATCTGATATGTTTTTCAATTAAACTTTTGTTGTTAATTGCCTGGATTACTATTCTAATCTTTATCTTGAGTAGATTAATAGTATTCCAATTGTTATATTTTTTTTCTAACTAGATACTCAAAAATCTTGCTTGGTTATATTTGTTTAATTCTTTGACTATTAATTTGTTTATTCCTATATGAACTGTACCAAAGTCTGTATTGTTCTAATTGAAGGTCAAGAGAATAAATTTATTTGTAAATTATTTGCCTGATAAAATTGTCTAACATATTTCAAAATACATTTCATATCAGCTTTAGATTTGACAATCCAAGTAATATCATTTATATATACTATTACTGCTTATTTTAAGGAAAGTTTTTCTTTGAGATATGACTTTTGAAAGTTCAATATCCATTCTTCTTCCATTATATATCCATAGTTTAGGTTTTCTTATATTTTTCATAATAATAGATCATAAAAATTCTCTAAAATAGAGTTAAGATTATTTTTCCTTGGTCTATTTCATTACCAACTATAATGGGATTTGAAAGTTCTATTAAAAGAATTGTTTTGTATTTTTTGTTTTCAAGGAGATCTATGATTAATTGTCTATTAATAGCTGAAATACAGATTTTGTTCATAGATCTTTTCAACATTTTGAGACTGGTTGTATCATATACTTTGGTTGTATCCTGAAAGAGAATCCATAGTTTCTTTTTCTTTTCTTTAGCTTCTTTATAAATACTGTTTAGAAGTTGAATAGGTTCAGCTATACTTTCTTCTTGTAAGCTAGTGAAATTAGATTCTTATAGAATTTTATATTTTTTATATATATTGACAAGTCTATTGGTCAGTATTTTGATAAAATATTTTCTTATTATTTTTAGCAATATTATAGGTCTAGTATTGTTTAAACTATAGTTCTATAATTTTGACTTGAGTATTAGATAAATATTACTTTCTTTCCATTTTCTTGATATACAGCTTATCTTAATTATCTGATTATATAGTTGCTTGAGAGTCTTTTTTCTTTGAGGATCCAGGTTTTAAGTATTTCATAACTAATATGTAATAGATTTGATGCTTTCTTTTTAGAAAGGTTTTTTAGCATTTATTGTCTTGATTTCTTCCATGTGATTTTCAAAACAAAAGCAACCTATATGAAATGTTAAACATGTAAATAATATATTTTAAAATATATATATAATTAAATTTTTTAAATTTTTTTATTTTTTTTTATAAATTTATTGCTTATATTATTTTTTGAAAAATATATATTATATAATATCAAATTATATTATATTTATAAAAAAATAAAATTACTTTTGTAAATAAAAAATATTTTGAAACTGGCATAACTATGTTAAACTATTTACAAAAATTCTAAAAAATTATATTTTAAAAGAAATAATTCAAGAAAATCTGATAAAGATCAATCTAAAAAGATTATTGTACATAAATTAAAAGCAATTGATCCATATTTATATTATAATCCTTGACTTTTTACAAGAACTTGATAATTAATATGAATATTAGAGTATCTCATATGACAATTTCAAGATATTTAGCAAGCTTGGATTATAAAAATAATTTATATTTAAAAACTTTTATGCTTATTACTACTTATAAAGAAGTTCATATTATTTGAATAAAGAAATATCTTGATTATAATTAGAAAAAATTTTTATTTTTTGATGAAATAGTATTTTAACTATTTCAAAATACAATTACTTAATGTTATAAAAATACAAGACCAGTTAGAAGAATATTTAAAGATCATATTAAAATTTTTGTAAAAGGAGAATTAGAAAATATTGAATTGCTTGAAAATAATTTTTATTTTTAATATAATAATGATTTAAAAAATACAAGCAAAATTGATATAATATTTGTTAATGAAAATTTTTTTAAAATTATAGATTGGCCTTCTAATAGTTCAACTTGAATCTTATTGGACTATTGTTAAAAGAAACATAGAATTAAGATTACTTAAAAATATTTTAAATTTAGAACAATTTATAATAGAAAAATGAATAGAATTCCAAATAAGATTTTAAATAATTTTATGAAAAATTAATTGAAATATTTCTCAATTTTTATATTTATCAAAATTCGGTTTAAAAATTTATTGGAATTTTTTTTTAAAAAAGAAAAGACTTGATAAATTAAAAAATTTACTATTATTGTTAATAAACCATTTAAAACCAGTGGATTTAAAAAAACTTTTTGTTTTCAACTGTCCAATATTCAATTTACACATCTATTAATTAGAAATCTACGAATAGATAAAAAGAAATCAACATTTTAAATTAAAATAAAATTTTTTTTTTGTTTTTGTTTTAGATATTCTAAGAAAAAGAGATAATCATTTTCATCCGAAATTCACGAATGGCATAAAGACAAGTTTTTCTAAACGAAATCTGAGTACTGCCTTTCTAATATCTCATGTCTGAAATTGAAAGCTTGATTAATGATCTTCGAAAAATAACAGAGAACGTGTGTTAGAGAATATGAACGAAACGAACAACCGAAAAAAGAATCAACGTATACCTGTTCCATGTCCATTGCAGGTAATCTCAACAGCAGAGTCCTAATCTCAGAGTGCTCTAGTTCTTCGAGATTTTCCCTTGTGTGCTTCAACACAGCTGTGGTACAAACAGATAACAGTTTAAGGTCGTGCGAAAGAACGTATATATATATACAGTATATATGCATATATATATATATATAACACCCAAGTATGAAAATAAACAAAAAAAAACTTTTTTTTCATGCAAACCTAAGCAAACATAAGGGTGAAATTCAATAGGGTCGTTAATTGAAAAGTATGTGTCTGAAATAATTAGCAAAAAAGGTTCATATTTCAGGGAAAAAAAAAAAAAAAAAAACCGAGTTCACTATTTATTATTCAAATACCCCAGAGCCGCATTAAATCTTCGAGTTGGAGTTCCCTTGACAATAAAAATTGCAACCAAGACGATGCCCATTCATTGATGTCAACTTCTTCATCTTCAAAGTAGCTACATCTAGGATGACCGGAATCAAGTTAAAAAAAAAAAAAAAGAAAAAAAATCTTCGACAACGATAAATGTCAAAAATATTGAAACGACCGCACACAAATCCGGAATAACTGATCTGAACAAGGTCATAAAGTTCGCGACACGTTCGTTGATGTTATGAGTCGAATTGTACTCGTCTGGTAACAATAGAAATGGATAAACAAATGCGTGCAGATGACAACCACACATTATTCGACTTGAGTGCATCGAGAAATCTCACCTAAGGTGGCCATGAGTCGTGTGTAACAATGATAAACATCCGATTCACTTTTTATGCAGTACACGAAGGGTCCGCACAGGTGAACAAGGGCCGGATAATAGTCGACATCGCGATTGTTATTCATGTAAGCGCCAATCACATTTTCGAAGATGGTTGCATTGGCGCCATCAACATCTTTGATCTTACGCTGGTATCGGCTCACTTCACCTCGTACACGTTTTATTATATCAGAATTCTCTTTTTCTATGGTGAGGTACTCTTCGTATTTGTCTTTGAGACTAGTCAATTCCTGTGCTATCAGAATATTAATGTAAACTTACGCTTAAAATAATTTGTACATCACTAAAGAATAAATCAGTTTAGCCCAAGAATGACTAAATAAATAACGAATAGGTATCTAACTTACACCTGTCAGCAGGGTTTACTCCAAGCAGGTACTTCCATACTTCCTTTTAAAGGAAAAACAAGAAAGGTAAAATTAACTCGATAAGGTGGAGATCAAGGATAAGCGATTATCTCGAGAACTGATGAATTTGATAATGCATAATCATCATCCAATTGGATTTTTACCCCACGAACGTCCAAGGGGACACCATGTCGAGCCGATTCGCGCAATTTATCGAGGTCGACATAAACTTCGGCGGTTAAGATGTCGTTGAATTCTTTGATCGACGTCGTCATATCTCGAATTCTTTGATTAACCCTGTGATTGACGGGATATTTGGCTGGCCGCGAAACTCGAAGCATATATGAGGCAGAGTGTAGTGAATGAGGGATGAAGAGTGAGAGGAGAGGAGTATATGATATGAAAGGTGCGAGAAATGTTTGTATATACAGAAACGAAAGAGTTTAGAGGCAAGGATTGTTATATTTTTAAAGTTTCAGTGCATAATTTATATAAAAAAATGTACGCGACTAATCTAAAAGGTAACAATAATCATAACAATAAAGGACAGCTGCCTATCCGATCCCTAGATAGATGGCTAATAATTAATTGATAATATTATCCGAAAGTGTGACACAAATAATCAAAGTCAAAATTGAGTTCACTTTCATATGACAGAGGAAATAATGAGTTCGAGAGTGTGAGGAAAGGAAGAAAGAAAGACAGTGTCGGGATATTTATTCTACAATCGAATGACAGATCATAGGAAAGAAGGATCAGTAATGATAACAAATTTGTGAGAAATGTATTTAGATGTCGCACCAAAGTGACTATCACGTAGCACGAAATCTATCCACCAATTACGGTAATAGCAAATTTATGTCTCCTCTTTAATTCAATGTTGTCTCCTCTGTTGACGATTAGGGAAAAAAGAAAAAAAAAAAGCGATCAATCACGATAAAACGTAACAAGATAATGAACTGATTTACCAACACAACACTACACTACACCTAAATAAAATTTTATATTGTGTGCAAATAACGCAAGCATCCGAGATGTAATGTGTACTGTATGTGTGTAATCAATACTTTCTATTGTATCGATATTCGATCATACAATATTATATAAATCAATTTGTCCTTATCAGTAAAAAAGATTGACTTCAAAATCCAGTTGAGAAACATTTGAATTTCATACTTCACCAATCCGATACTCTGATTTTAAAAAAAAGGCACGATGGATAAAAATTTTCTTTTTTTTACCGTCAATATTACGTAATGACAACCAACATTCTGTCGTCATCTTATGAAAAAAAAAAAAAAAAAAAAATCAAATCTGAGTGCGATACGTATTCATGTATATACTGTATGTGTACATGTATTTGTGTACATTGACCTATGGACAAAATATCTCTTGCGCAGGTATGGAACGATGCAACTGACAATGAGTCACCAACTACAGTGGCAGGGTGATAGCAGACGTGCGAGTTCAGCTTTTTTTTTTTGAGCTACTTTTGCAGTATATCATTATCACGCTCAATTCACAACCGCCAATGAAATTGGTGCTTCCAAACTTTGCATCACCAGTCGTGATTTCAAGTGATCCCAAGTGATCAACCATTTATGATTTGTGTTTTGTGACTAAACTGAATATAGAACATTAATGTCAAAGGGTGTTCCCTATTTATATGTACTGTATAACCGGAGAAAAAAAAAAAATGGCGCTTCGTGTCATCCTAGAATAATTTATTTCCGAATTTTCTCGATACTCCAGGCAAAGTCGTATGGTCTCGTGCAAGCTGAATGTTTTCAAGGGAGTAAAGGAGTTTATGTCATCGTCATTGCACAAAAAAATAAGCCTCGGTGTAGCGTAAATCCGGAACTTGCACTGCAGTGAGCAAAAAAAAAATTAAATAAAAATAAAATGAAATGAAATAAAAGAATTTGTCATGAAGGACTTTATGGAATATGAAAATCCTGCGTGATGCATGTATTACAGAAAGAAATAAAGTCACGTGCAGTTTGGATTCATCGGAAATGCGTAATCTTATTGATCCCGGATAATATACGGTCCTTATTAGAACCTCTCATTGTTGTCAATCGCTTATAAAAGTTTAATCAAGGATTCAATGAGAAATCTAAATAATCGGATCCTAACTAAAAAGTTGGTAGTCATTCGATAATCAAGTTGATTCAAGTTAATGTGTGGTTTTGTCTAATCGCAATTAAAGATAGAAGAATATAAACATGAGTAAGTTTATTTGTAAGTAAATTTCACCTAATATATCATTCGTTTTAACTACGCATAATTGTCACAACCCGAAAAATGAATTGAGTCATCATCGCCAAGCTACCAAACTTTACAACTATCAATTTACTGATTTTTTTTGAAAATCATTTTGATTATCAATCTACTTTGCAAACACTTTAATCATATCATTTTTAATATTATAGATTGCAAATTTTTATATATATTTCATAAATTCGTATAGAGAATATTTCGTATTATCATTGACTCAAAAATTATATATTTTATAAATATTATATATATTATTGATTAAAGAATTATATTATTTAAAAAAATATGAAAAGTTCACTAAGCTATTTGTTGTGTCATCTGATAACAAATTATTATCAATTTGCTAATAAAACCATTGATAAATCTTTTTTGATTGATATTATTCAAAAAAATTTAAAGATATTTTTATATCAAATCTGACAAAAATCAATATATTTTATAAAAAATTTATATATTGTGACAATAAATTTGATAAATTTGATATGGATATTAATATATAACATAAATTAATAAAAAAAATTATGATATTCATTTTAAAATTTAATAAATATTTAGTAAATTAATAATTTTTAACAAAATTATAAAATTTATTTTTTTTTTTACAAATTTAGCTTAACTCTTTTTTTTTTTTTGTTTTTTTTTTTTTTGACCCTCAGTCAGGTCAGCATGACATGTCTTTATTGTATATATGCTAGGTATTTACAAATTATTGTGACTTTCACATACTAACTCACTCGTCATCGAAAACTATTTCTCTAAATGCAACCTAGGGAATGATATTTCACTCCTTTACTAATTTGGATAATTCCTTTAATTAATAAAATCATTGCCTACAAGTCATTACTGTAGAACAAATTTAGCTTAACTCTTTTGAAACCAACTTTAATTAATTTTATTTATATTTTATGATTTTTTTTTTTTTGTTTTTTTTTTTTGCTAACTCACAATTATGTCATAATATCTTGTTTTTATTGAGAAATTGAAAAAAAAAAATCTTAATAAATTACAAACTTTTATAAAGTAATTAACACATTATTATAAAAAATATTTAAATTAAATTTTGTAGACAATATTATACTCTTTTACTATAATTAAATTAACTACTATCTATTAGAATTATTGTTAACAATTTATTATTATTGGTTAATCTAAAAACCAATGAATTATTAAATTAGAAAAAAAATAAAAAATAATTATAAAAAAAAATTTTTTAAAGTTTATTAAAAAAGTCTAAAAAAAATTGATCTAATTAAAATAATCTTCTTATTTTATTTTGAATTTTTAAAAAAATCTTTTTTATTATTACCTGTAATATTAAATAAGTCAATTCAACTGATTCTTTATTTAAACAAATATTGAGTTGAAATATTTTAAAAAAAAATTATTATTACTTAAGAAATCAGAAAAAAGATAAAAGTTTGTAATTTATATTACTCATCTTTTAATTTTTTGATATTATAGATATTTTTATTAAAGAATTTGAATTTTTAAAGTAAATATTTTCAAAAATTCTTTTTAATTAATAATATTATTATTAAAACAAATAAATATAATTAATAGAAACTTGTTTATATTTTAAAATCAACTTGTTTATATTAGCCAATTATCTTTAATAAGAATTTATATTATTTAAAATTTAAGGTCAAATTGAAATAAACAAAATTTTTCAAAAAACTATGTAAATAATAACTTTAAAAAAATTAAATCAAAAAGAAGAAAATAAGTTTTTTTATTATAAAAAACTTTTATAAAACTCTTACTTCAAAAATTAAAAAAGTTTTTAAATACCTTACAATTGATTTTTCTTTTTTAATAACATTTTTACTATTGATATCAAAAATATTACTTGACATTTCTTAGTCATTAAAAGTCAAATTTTTGAATAAAGAATTTGTAAATAATAGAAAAAGGATAAAATTAAGTTTTAAAATTATATTTCAAATTGTTTTAAAAAATATTAAAATTTTATTAACAAAAAAATATAAAACAATTTTACTAATATCTTTTTATATGTGATTAAAGAATTAGTAAAAAGAATTTTGTATTATTTTTTTATTTGATTTCATAATTATTTTTCAAAGTTTATTTAATATTTCTTATTTTTTAAATATATTAATAAATTTTTATTATTTTGTAATTTTTTATTTTTTTAAAAACCTTTTCAAATTATATATTTAATTTAATAAATTATTTAATAATATTATACAATAGTAATATAAATAAAAAAAATTCTTTTTGCTGATTCATTTTTTTTTAAAAATTTCTTTTTTGGTAATTTTCTTAAAAAAGAAAAGTCAGCTTAAAAACACTTTATTTTTTCAAAATCTAAAACTCAATAACAAACTACAATACTCAACTGCTTTTTAAAGATTTCTTTATTAATTAAAAGAAGTATAGATAACATAATATCATTTCAGCTTTACTTTACAAAAAAAAAAACACATCTATAAGCTGATTCACAATAAGCTTAGGAGAGTTTAATATTAACTTTTCAAGCTTCTAACCAGGTTAAAATTAGCTTATATCTTTCTAAGCATTAGAAAAAACTTCATAAATAATAGTTTTTATCAATAAATCAAGAAAAATTTAAAGTTTACAAAGCTCAAAAAGATATCAAAGGTTTTTAAGGACTAAACAGTAGAGCATCTTGATTTTATATACACCAGTCTAAATAACAAAACAAGTAATACAAACATATATGCATCAATTAATATAATATCAAAACAATATAATAAGATTTATCAAGAGTCTGTGAACAAAACAGATTAATTCTATTATAACAACAACAAAAATCAATAACAAATCTAATAAATAAGCAAGACCAAACAAGAATAATCAACAACTTATCCAAGTAAACAAAAATCTAAACAAAATAACAAACAGTCAATCCTATAAACCTTGCTAAATATAAATAAACAAAAAGTAAACAAAAACAATAAATCAGTAATTTATCTCCTTTTTACATAACCAATATAACAAATTAATAGAAAATTATATA